AGATCCAATTGAATTAAAAAGAGAAACCCAACCCGAGATAGACTCCCACGAAGCAAACATTTCCATTGGATTTGTCCAATTTCCATTGTTTCCGACGACTCTAAAGTGGTTTTCATTTCGTGTTGCCATCATTAAAATATCTACAAGTCTGAAGAGGGTTCTCAGTCCTCAGCTTCTGAATCCAGGCCAGGTTGTTCTTTACCCTCTCGTCGGGACGGAACAAAAGGTACGTAGGAAATACACCATAGTCCGCGTGTGGGTATAGTGCTGTCAGCAACAGCCATTCCTACTCCGACGAAACCGACCCACTTGCTCCCGGTGCCCGATTCGATTTGCGAATTCAAATCCGAAACATTTTCTCCTTGTGCATTGCATTTACGTATCTGCACAAAGTGGTAAGATGAGAATACAAATGTTTTCCTAATCCGGAGGATTATGTTACAGCAGTGAGAGCAGATTTGTTCCCGTCTTTTAGCCAAAAAGTGGATACATACGTGACGATACATGTTCTACATAGTTACGTAAACTTGGCAAAAATTCGACTTTCACCCCAACTTTCACCTCGGATAAGGCGCCTCTCTTAATATTCGCACGCCGCGAGGGATCAATTCCGTCATTTTAAAGTGGCATAAAACAAAGTGAAAATTCATTAAAACAACCGAAACGATAAAGTCGAGCGAGTTAAAGGTTGTGAGGCAAATTTTATCCTCACGGAGGCATAAAATTAAACAGCATTAATAAAGAAAGACTGGCACAAGTTAATCCGTGCAGGTTTTCTTCTGTAACGAGGTTTATGTACCCTCTGCCTCCTCACGAGAATGGGTTAATTGGCTTCTCTACGCTCAATTTAAAAACAAATATGAGCCACCTACTCATTTCCTCGTGGGGAAGTGTCGTAAAGAGTGGCGTTTTAAGGTGGGTGGAGAATTGAGCCATTTTATTTAGTCGTCGGTTATCTCTTCCCGGAGGAAAATATAAATCTGTAGCGCGTTATAAGATGTAGGGAGAGGGAGAGAGAGATCCTTATTTTTAATGGAGAAATGAAGCAGGAAAATTAGAATGAGATTAACTATTTTCATGGCCTGGCTGGATTTTACTTGTCTTCTTGTCTCCTTTGGTGAATGGCAGGGTTTCAGAGGGGGTAAGTAACCGCGTGCAAGAAATGACGGGGAGAAAGTGTGTTTTTGCAGGTATTTTGACCTGCAAGAAATGCAAGGGGCAGGAAATTACGTCACGACGCTGTAGTTCATAAGGCGTGTGGTTAGATGGCGCCTATTTCTTGCACTTTCGTACAGTTTTTTGCACTTTGTTGAATTTTCTTTCACCAAATGGTGCAGTTTCTTGCACCTCGCATTTCTTGCCTTGCACTGCAAGAAATGTAGCAAAACTCGCAAGAAACGAAACCCTGGCTAACCGGGATATATTAAAGGATGCCTTCATTAAGGTCAAATGCAGTACACCATGATCCGGTAACTTTTTAATTGCGAGTAAAAATCTGTGCTTTCATGTTTCTCTGGGAAAGTAGGATAGGAGGATATTTCTTAATAAAGAGGCAGCACAGTAATTAAAGTTCAAAGCAGCCTCGTCTCCTCGGATGTTTTCGAGGCCATCTTAATGCAAATTTCGAATTTATGCGAACACAAAGGACTTGCTTTTGATACAAGTATTTTGCATGTTGAAGATTCTCTTGGTTTTGTTGGTGATGGAGTGAGCTGGTCCGCCTGCGGGTGACAAGTTGCCTCCTCGCCTAGAATTCTGCAGGATTGAAGTGGCGTCGGTGGTGGTGGTGGGGACGGAATGGAATCTTTGGAATCTGGCGATGCTGAACTGGAGATGTATTGCACTTTGTATAGCGGATATGCCTTCGTATTTACTTCTACGTCTTGCTCTTCTTTTGTGATAAAGTGAGAATGCATTCACACCCCAGAATTGAATCAAGGCTAATTTGCATTTTAAATCGAGCATTTCTGATGCCTTAGTCAATCTCATTTTACCACTGCCATCACCACCACGACGAAAATCTGCGGATGAGTGACTTCATTTTGGCGAATATAATTTTGCGGTGGTGAGAAGACCTTCACTAATGTGCCTGACATTCGGTGTGTGGTCTCCTTTGCATTGTGCCGTCGCAAAATGAAGGCAATCTCTTCTGCCAACAGATATTATTTGCCCGTGTGGTTTGGTTTGGGTGGGTGGAGAAGAAGAGAGGTGAATTCTGTACAAGTTTGTGAGTAAAATTCCAAATGCATCACTTTTCATGCTTCTCTGTATTCCGGCCAAGAGCTGAGATTGGATTGTGAGACGTGGTGGTGGTGGTGTGGCGGTGGGTGAAAGTGATGCTCCTGGTTGCATACATACATGAAATATGAGCCAGCCAGCTTACACCTACATACACACGCAGAATTTGCCTCGCTTCACTTTTACTCTCGGCCGACTGTTTAGTTGGGTTGGTTGGATTTTGGAAATATAATTCCGCGGAAGGAAGGAAACGGTTAAGGGATTGTGTATTTAAATCCGAGACTGGGCGTGAATTTTCTCTCGTGGATCGTTTACCTCGCTAGCCCTTGGCGGTGAGAGAAAGTGGTGGTCGGGCTGAGGAGGAGGAGGTGGTCTCGTGTGATGTGGTGGTAGTGCTGGCTGGTTGGCAGTGGACCGAAATTGGCTTTCCCTAGAGGGGAAGATCTCGCTGGCTGGCTTGGCTGTGGTGGATTTTGGCAGGCATAAACTATTTTGTGAGAGCCTTCGAGATTTGGGACTTTGACTTTACGGCAAATTGGTCCGAAATTCTAAAAGCTAAACTAACTTGGCTCATCTTCTCGGCAGCCAGACATGTGACGATACGAGATGGATGAGGAGATTTGTACGCGGAGAGTTTAACCTGCTGTGTCCAACAGAAAATGTCCCGAATTTAGGCGTACTGCTCACTTTCGGGTGCAGGTAACCACTTGCAAGAAATAACGGGGAGAAAGTGGTTTCTCCCCGTCAAGTGCAGGTATTTTGACTTGCAAGGCGCAAGAAACTACGTCCCTGCGCTATTTTTCATACGGCGCCTGGCTTGATGGCCCATATTTCTTGCAGTTTCTTGCACCTCGCATTTCTTGCGTTGTTTGATTTGCACTGCAAGAAATGTAGCAAATCCGAAAGAAAGGAAACACTGATACTGAGTTTTAAGTAAATAACCAATTTCCACGCGTAAAAAAATCAGCAAGGCAAACACACCTTATCAAAAATGACAAAGGAAATGACACCATCAATACGGCCATTCGAATAAGGATTAGATTGACTTTGTCCCTTTCTTTTAAGTGAATTTGGTTTGCACATTGTCATATCCATTCTTGTATTAGACGAAGGGAAGAAGAATACGTGGAAGTAGAGCATAAAATGACCACTGGATGAATGGGAATTTCGCAATTCCCAAGCTGGAAATAAACCATTTACTCTCCAGCTCCTTTTCGCAATAAGCCATTCCATCCTTATCTCAGAATTGATACACAGCGACCATTCAAGTTTTCACAGAAAATAAAGCACAACTTGGAGCAAAATGACAATAGCAGAGTCACGAACAAAGCGGATTATCCATATCCATCTTTTGTGAAGCCGTAAATTCCATCCGTCCATGCTAAGTTGGTCGCTCCTTCTTACTTCATAGGATGGGATAGGCAGTAAAAGTACGTCCATCGGGCGGCGTCCCTTCATCATCGTGGCGTACACTCTAAAAAATCCGGTGACAAAATTAGCTTTGGTGATCAGGGTTGTTATCATTTCGGTAGTAGTACACTCTTAATAATCCGGTGTTAATCGTCACCGAACGGTGTACATTTCACTGTGCGGTGATAATGTTGCTCATCTAATGGTAAAATTAACAGCAGCCGGTGACAATTTGTCACTGTTCGGGCAAGGTTTATCACCATGTGGTGAAAGACATTATCACCATTTGGTTAAGCAACGTATGCAAACCGTTCGGTGACGATATTAACACCGGGTTTTTAAGAGTGTATGCTTCTGTTAGGTGATAGACTGTGGCCGAGCTAATCCCACGTGATAATTCCACTGTAACCGAGCGGTAAAATTTATCATCATCCGGTAAAGTCACCCGTCGGTAATAATCCGGTGCATGGCAAAATTTCTTAGAGTGTGGTAGACTTGAAGCTTGCCTTGGGTTTCATGCACTCCTTGGAACTGAAAACGAGACCGGGCTGGGTTTGGATCCTCGTGGTTGATTGTATACTAAAGTTGATTCATTGTTTTTGCACCAGTGCCATAAAAGTGTCGTTTTAGTACCAGAGAGAAGGGCGTAACTAGCTTTAGAAAATGTTTTGCCAAATAAAATCACCAAACTCATCCAGTTTCACTAAGTCATTTTGACTCTCTCCTTGCTGCTCAGTGCTCGGTAGCATCAGTTGGTTGGTGGGTTGGTGGGTTTTGTGTGAGCCTGTAAAATTCACTGCGTACTCTCAAGTTGAAAGTGACAGAAGTTGATCGGCAGTAAAATGAGAGAAATGCTACGTCGGGCTTCAAATTGAAATTGTGTTTTTGAAATTGACTCAATTTTTGCGCACAAAAGGGTCCGAATGCAATTACTTTGTTCGATACAGTTTAACTCTCGGGGAGTAATAAAAGGCAGAGAAAATTGTGAAACGAGCGTGTAAAAGTATATTACAGAATATAGAATTGAGTTGGTCTTCATTTCATTATTTTTAAGGTGTACGTGCAATAAATACGTGTCGTCGTTCGTGAATAAATACTTAGTCGAGTTGAGAGAGTAAAATATGTATTCGCGAAGTTGACAGTAATAATGACACACTTCAAAAAAATGAGACAGTCAAATTTTCCTTTTTAGCGAAAAAAAACTGGAATTTCTCCAGGGTTTCGTTTCTTGCTACATTTCTTGCAGTGCAAAACAAGAAATGTAAGAAATGCGAGGTGCAAGAAACTGGGAGAAAGTGCACGAAATATGCGCCATTTAGCCACGCGCCGTATGAAGAATAGCGACGGGACCTAGTTTCTTGCACCTTGCATTTCTTGCAGGTCAAAATATCTGCAAGAAACCACTTTCTTGACGTTATTTCGTGTCCCTTGCATTTCTTGCAGGTAAAAATTACTGCTAGAAATTTTCTTGCCGTTGTTTCTTTCACTGAATTTCGGAAACACTGAATTTCTCCTTATTTTATTAAATCACCATCCTTCTCCCCTCGACACGTACCGCCCTAAATACTTGATCATAACCTCGTCTAGGTAGCTCTCCTCTTTTCGTAATTATGTTTCATCCCGAGTCATTTTCATTATTCTCCACAAAAGAAGAAGAAAAACCGTGTTATTGTTCGGAAGGAAAGGCCAGGAATCAAAAGTGTGAAAGATTTATGCCAGCCGAGAGGAATAAGTTTGAGGAAAAATAATGAATTGCATGCCCATCCATCCACCAGCCAGGCCAACTTAGGAGAGTCTGATCCAAATTCCAGATTATTACCGAGGGAATATTCTATAAGCAATAAATTAAAGGGTTGAGCAATACATTATACAGCAACAGACTTTCCGCGGAGATATCCCTGTCTTGTTTTTGCAGCAGTCTTTCCACTCCTCCTGCTGCTGCTGGGGAATGATTCTTCTTCTTCCGTGAAACCATTACCTTTAAACGCATTCACAAATGGCATTGATATATCTGCTCAATTAAATTTCTCTCCACTCCAATTCCAATCACGGGTTCGGGATACACGAATTTCTAGGGATTTCTGATCCTATATTTGCATATAATATAATATATTTCCGGAATAAATGATTTACTCGGGTTTGCTGTTAATGTCGTGGTTGGAATGTAGGTACATATTTTGGAGAAAGCAGGCCGTGTCAGAATGTCGGATAACCGCATAATTCTTGATCTATGTACATATGTATCTGACATGCGAGGTTGTCTGTCCCACCTAAATAATGGTGGTCAACCAACCAGGTAAATATGTGCCCTAAGTGAAAGTGCGTGTGTGTGCGGCGACAGACAAAAAGCATTCACTCGTCGTCGCAACTTTATCCGTTAATGGAACTTTTCACAGGGCACGTTTTCCTTCTTCCGTGGCTGGGATGGAAATCCATCTCTTTTACTTTTGGATGGGTGATTATTCGTTCACTTGTCTGCGTAGATTGAAGTAAAACAGACTTTTGTAATTTATCAGGACCCAAAAAACTCTCCATTTTCATTTTAATGGAACTCCTTTTAATTTGTATGTTACAGATTCTCTCCTCCCCGATTTCGGAGCTAATTTGAATCGTTGGAATAAAAGTGTCAGAGCCGAACGCTAAAAGATGGAGATGATGCTTCTGCTCTCCGGTCGGCTGATTTTTACGATGATCTTCTTCTTCACCGCGGCTGGTGGGGAGAGTGGGCATTCCTCATTAGTGTCTTCCTCCTTGGATGCGTCCGCGACAGCTGAAGCCAGAGGTAAGAAGAAGGTTAAATCACTACTGCTGGATGGAATGAATGCGGGTATTCTTCGGGAAAATATTGCATGCATTTTTTGGCACGGGAGGAAAACAGGATTTGTGTGAAGTGAGTGTTTTGCTTGTCATGGGTGGATTTTTTTGTGTTGCCTCTTTTTCAAACTAATGATAAGATTATTGCTTGTTTAGACGTGAGTCAAACTTTGTACATTTTGTGCTACAAGGAAAACATCACAACAAAAATGCCAATGCCAGCCAAGTACATGGTTTCATTAGTACATGGAATTTTCGTGGAATGGAAATCAATTTTATTTTAGGAAATATTCCACGGTATTCATATTCATGTATTAGGTACTTACTAGACGACATATGGGATAAGTATTATTAAGTGGCGTTTATTGTGATCGTTTTGTCCGTCCGTATGTCCGTCCCTAAGCAAAATATCTCCAGAATATATCTACATAATCTAACGCCGTTTTCGCCATTGTGCTTCTGGTTTTTAGTTCTCGATCGAATTCGATGGGGTTAATTAGACCATCCCCCACAGCACGAGGGGGTGTGGTTCATGATCAAATTTAACTTAAATTTTTATATGAGGAGTCATTTAAAAGTAAATTTCACCACGAACTCAAGAACTCAACTTCATATTTTTAACCTCCAACCTACCCATGACCGTGAGGACGAGGTCAAAGGTCATAAATAACATAATTTTCATTTAGTTTCATGTTAAATTTTACAGTATGACGCCACTTTTTCATGTTCGTTTAAGACTGTTTATTAAAAGCATTTTACAATTTACTACTTACTACTTACGGTGGAGGACGGAAATCGTATTTCACAAATATTCTAATGAGCATGCCTCCTTGCCAATCTTATGTCATCAGCGTCACTTCCATTCCATCCACATCATACGAATTTTGGTGTGTCAAATGATGTCGACGTCGTGGAGTAGCAGTAGGTAGTAGTATCTTTTGGGCGAGGGGGGATTACCACCACGCCAAAAATATTATCCTTCTGCCTCGAACCAAGCAATCTAAATATTCCGTATCACTCGGTCACGTCGTTAATGTCAAGATTATTAAGAATTATATCGGGAAGAAACCCGGTGTGCAAAAATAAAATGGGACGGATTTTCCCCACACAAAAATATCTACATAAGACGACTCTTGTTTTTGCAGGATGATTAATGTGGAACTGGTTGGTTCTCATTTAGCCGAGCAAATGTAGACATTAAATAAAAAACCGCAAAAATAAGTGGCAGGAATTCATATCAGAGTTTGCATGCGTGGTGGTGTGGGAAAAAACTGGTGGGTGCACAGCCCTCGCCCTCGCCGTGTGATGAATCAGGAGAGAGGAGAACTTGTCATAAAAAAATTTGGCATGCCTGATGCCTGATTCCGACGCGAATCGCTTAGATTTGGCTACGCAGGAGGACTTATGAATCATGTCTGAATTTGAATTTTTTAGACTTGACAAAAATTGACCCATTTTTCAACCTTACACTTCTCCCGAGAAACATCTGGTGCGTCTCATGCCAGCCAAACGGCTGGATGGCAGGAGGAATAAAGGAAGAGATGAAAACTTTTTGGTTTACGTCCGTAATAGAATAAAGTATCAAAACTCATCCTTTCTCAATTCTTGAGGTTTCTCGGGGTGGGTGGGTGGGTCGTCGCGAGGTATGACTTACTTTATGAAACATAAAGTAAAATCGGGCGACAGAAATGGTGCGTTCTTCTTCCTTCCCTACAAGGTTAATGGTACGGATATGTGTAGAATATGACTTTTGACTCGCTGCTGCATACTCCATATAAATTCGTATAAGTAAGGATGTAAGTAGTACTTAATAAGAAGGAAAGGTCGACCCAGACGCAAGCTGACGACGAAAAATCATAATATAATAATTTCAAACAGGTATTTCAACTGTGACTCTGGGCTGACAGGAAGGAAGTAGAACCTAAAAACCTCACCCAGCAGATTCCAGTCTTCTTAACTGCATAATTTCATCCCGAACCATAATGTTGACAGTGGAAATGAGGCAAACTTTGAATTCACGTTTCCTTAAAGTTTACTTGCCCGACTTTGGATATTTCCACAATCATGTCAATTTTAAAGAACACTTTGGAAACTAAGACGGACCTCAAATCTGTTCCTGATTGTAATCTTTTTAAGGAAGTGAAACATGCATCGATCTGTTTTGGAGACTCACTTATTTGCATATTATTACATGCTGCGGAAGTTGCTGTCATGCCCTGCGACTTATTGGCAGTAACGTATTTTTTCCCAAAAAATACATTACCTCCCGATATTTGTGCATAGTTTCAGTTCAGTTCTAGTTCTGGTTTTCTCATTGGTTTTGGAAATGCCATTCACAATGTCAAGTCTGTCATGGTCGTTGGTTTCAGGCAGGCAAAGTTGGTTATTAGGACGCTAACTATATCCATACCCTGGCTGGCTGGAAGATAAGTCTCCCAAGTTTGCACCATTTTCGAACTATTCAAACCAAGGGAGACCATTAGTAGAGTGGGACAGAGAGTGAATATTTGGCTAGTTACTTACAACGAAGAAAACTTTCCTTCTTTGTTGGTTCATGAAGTTAATGCCTCCATGATCACGGCGTGGCGTGGCGTGGCATGGCTGGTTTCGTTCCTTTGGCTCTTTGAGTTACGGCTTTAATAGTCTTTAAGTAAGTAAGACACGAAGTGTGTCGACTTTCCCTTGTTTGTTTATAGTCGTCCTCGTCGAGAGAGAGTCCCTTTTTCGCAGGGAAATCCAGCCAGAGCTTGGCTTGGCTCGTGTGGAAAGAAATTCATCGATCCACAAAATTCACAAAGTGGACGGTCTCAATGTGCTCAGTCACACGGAGACTCTCTCAATTTGAAAATTGGACATAGCCCAACAAAAAATTGAGCTGGGTGGGTAGTGGGTAGTATCATGATTTTGCATTCATATCGAATATGTCCTTGTGACCCACATAATAAATAATACGGTTCAGTTTACACTTCCTGTGACTTTCTCTCCTCTTTCCACATTCCGCCGTCGTCCACCAACGGGTAACTTATAGGGAACAATAACTCCCTGTCAGGACCCACTGGTTTAACCAGAACAGAAAACGTGGTGGAAAAAGTGATGTGGATTTCTCCCTTTGTAACTCTTCAACTTTCTCTTTTAAAACAGTTCACTGATTTTTTTTCTTCATGTTTAGCTACTTTACCTCCAAGGCAAACAAAACCCTGGAAAAAAAGCTGTATCGACATACGTACATGGACCATCAATAAATATGGGATGATGATTTCTTGTTCAGCAGAATTTTTTTGAGACGCGCGTTTTTACTTTATTCTGGGGGAAAAATCTTGAAATACGTCATCTCAACTATTCCTTTTTCTCTGCTGCATACTCATCCAAGAAGTCCACCGGGTTTACGTTTCCGTCATTTGCATTTTCGCCATCCCTGACAGCACGGCATCCTCCTTCTTCCGAGGACGAGGGGTGGGAGCCAGTGACCGCGGAGGGGGACAGAGGGACAATGTCCCCACCGTTGTCCCTATCATCTGCCCATGTTGTATAAACCCCGCCCTCCCCTACCCCACAATGTTAATGTCCCCACGCCTTCCGCGGGCACTGGTGGGAGGTAAAGCATAATATAAACCGTCTCCCTGGCACATCTTCTCTGGCGAATGACGGGATTCCTTCCCAATGAAAATTCAGCATAGCATTCCCAAGTTTACTCACCTACTTTAAGAGGCCAACTTGAAACTTAACGAGAACATGGACCAGCACTTAGGACGAGCCAACTTTCCAGCTCCAGAGTTTTGGAGTGACTCCTCTTATTCTCATTTAAGCAAAGGTATCATAATCTTGTCACGTAGAATGACATGTCCCAAAAAGTAATGAAATGCTGGCAATAATATAATAATACCTAAACATGTCTCTTCTTTTTTGCGCTTCCTCCTCCTTCGCAAAGAATAATATTATTATTGTTGTGCCAATGCAAACTAGTCTAGACTTTTTAAAATTCGTATATATTCCCCTTTTTGGCAGAGAGAACAACAAATCTGCCTTGGAAAAGGCTCTCGGGAAAAGTCTGCGAGCAATTTCTTGATGTGAATAACATTCATGACTTTTTGTCTTATTTTCTTACGTAAAAGTTTGATGGGATAATCTATGCATTCCTTTTTTTGGTAAATTGAAGCAATCACGATTATTACGGGGGAGCTGATTGTAATGGAGCAACACTATTTGGCTGGATGGGAAGACTGTTTATCCTCGATATTTGGCATTGGCACTGGAAGATCAAGTATGTTTGGTTTGGCTTTTATTCTGCTGAGTTGGTACGGATTTAGGGATTGTCCTTCTTCATGGAACAACTACTTTATCACGCTGGGTCCCCTTCTCACGAGTCAGTTTACTCTGATTTCGTCTCCCCATCAGAATTTTGGCAGGGGTTCAACACTTTAACCACCACCTTGTACGTATACTTTGCGTCTCCGCACTAAAATACCTTAGGTTTGCTTGCCGTTTACTTATTGATTCGTACATAGCTTTCAATACGTAGTCGAAAATCTGTTGAGCAGCTCTAAATACACGAGAGAAAGTAGGCACCAGATGGACCACCCATTAAAAAAGAGTGACTAAAAAAACACCACCTAAAAAACTACGTACGTAACGTACTCGATCTGTGATGCCGGCCAGACACATTACATTACATGCATTACATTACTTACCATTTCATTCAGAAAGTTGGACCGAGTGGAGCAGGACTTGAATTATTATTCCCTTAGGAAAATAGAGCCAATATATACTCGCTCGCCTCGCCTGGCCTGCCGCCTTTGTTGAATAAGCTCCACAAGCGTAGAGAAAGCAAAAGAGAAAGCAACCTGGTCTCCCACCAAAGGTCGACTTTTATGAACATTCTTTCCTCAACTTCACTTATTGAACGTGTGTACGAAGGGACACAGACTTTTTTTACAATCCGCTCCGTCCAACCAATACTCGATGCGATTT